CACACACACAGACATATATATATATATATATATATATATATATATATATAGGTACTTACTCTGAATTTTCGATACCTAAATTTTAAAATGAAAAACCATTCTTGAAGATTTCATATTAACTGTAATTGGAAGCTAAATGATTAAATTTATTATTTCCCGTAAGTAAAATATTCTGGTGTATTTCAAATAGAAATTATATACATATATATACTTTATATGTATATATATATTTATATATATATATATATATATATATATATATATATATATATGTGTGTGTGTGTGTGTGTGTGTGTGTGTGTGTGTGTGTGTGTGTGTATATTTATATATATATATATATACTTTATATATATGTATATATATATATATACTTTATATATATCTAAGTATATAAATTCCAATAACCAACAAATACTATTCTTAAAAGAGTGCTCAATACAGAGTAGAGCAAATATAATTATTTATTCGAAGGAAACCCTTTATTCTACATTCAACACCATCACTTGATATGACACCAGTAGTGTTGAAACAAAATGGCTATTTTTGTAGTGATTTTATAATATATTTATGTCATAATTTTCGAATAAATAATTATATTTTATATATATATATATGTATATATACTTTGTATGTATATATATATATATATATACATATAGATATATACTTTTATATATATGTATATATACTTATATAGTTATTTTATATATATTTATACAACGTCATATCTATCATATAAGTCTGAAGCAAGAAACAAATCTAATAGACATAGGCCAGCTATATACAAGAGACAAAAGGGATAGACATGGGGCAGACTTATAAATGATTCAATACAGGCAGACGTTACTTTTTGGGGCGAATGTCAGAAGGCTTCTTTTTCGTCTTTGCTGTCAATCTTCATATTCAGGCTGTTTTTTTTTTTGTTGTTTTTGTTTTTGTTTTTTTTGTTTGTTTGTTTTTTGCTTTTCAGGATCTTAGTTCAAATTCATTGACTAATCTGAAAGAAACAATCGTATGACTGACATTTGTATGCTTGAAAACCTGAGTATATCGAATATGCTTGCATGATTTTGTCGGAAATCGTGAATCGACGGATTTCATACGATCATCTTTAGGGATTTTTATGTGGACCTACACTTTTGATCAAAATAAGTATCATTAGCTTTGTACTTGGCGATAGTATTGTGAATTGTCATCTTTCTACAACCCACTTCGATTGAGATATCACGCTTTTACTCCGTTTAATGTTATTATATGGACTGCTTAAATGTCAGAAATTAATGCTTTTGTTGATCATTTTTCTGGTATAAAAACTTACTGCCAATTATTTTTTTCAATCCCTAATTAAGTTAATCTCAATTGAGCTAATTTAAAACCTATGGTTTTAAATTAGCTCAAACACTGTTACAGTGTTTCAAACTTGAAGATGATATAATATTGTTTATAATATAATAATGGGTTTCTGGGACATTCGGTCATTTCCTTCCTTTCAAAAATAGGCATCACTGACTGGCCGTTGGTTGAAAAGCGTTTCGCATCGCCTTCAAAAAACTGTTCAGCACGCGTCAAGTTGGATTTGGTCGAGATCAAAACAAGCAAATAAAATGCGCGCAACATCTCGACCTGACATGCGCAATTGAAATATTTGCGTGGTCGTCTATAACGACTTTTACGAGCGCGTCAACAACGGCAAACGCGTTCAGGAAACTTTCATTACGGATAGAATTTACAAAAAGGAACGATCAATTAGCTTATCTTTATACCCTGCCTGGTGGCAAACGCTGCTGGTGGCGCCAGGGGTGGCGGTCCCGCCATAGCCACCGAAACCGTGGTATCATCCCTGGTCGGCGGCTGATGAAAACAGGGTATCGCACGTGCTAACATACGTTGTATGTTAAAAAAAAAGAAAAAAAAAAGTATTTAACTAAAAATGTATGATGCAATATCTTGTAATAGTAAACTAATGTTAATTTTTGCTAGGTGCTCTGTAACTTTTGGCCAAAACTATAAACAGAAAATAATATTAAAATATTTGGCGGATGTAATCTCTTTCATCTATTATGTTGTCATTGTTTACGTTAGGTTACGTTTTGGAGAAGGACTGGTATATCAAGAAAGATTCTCGAAGATGTGTGTTTATAAGCAGTAATTTGGACTTTGATAACCGGAATGTTCACCGTGGCTGAATGGTTAACAGCACGTCAGGCCAAATTACGGTTTCCTCGTGGGATACAGGTTCAATCCCAGTTGAGGAAGGCATATTCTCTAGGAAATTTCTCGAACATTCAGGCTGGTAAATGCAATTAATACTGTTTAATTAAAGCAAAGTATTTACTCAAATAAGTTGTATCCATGAAAATAATGTATAAACAATAGAAAATATATTAAAATATGTGTCGGATTTAATCCATTTCATCTAATATATATATATATATCTGAGATGTGGTATTATGTACATTATTTACATTATTCGGACCGAAACGTTGTAATAAATATGGCGACAAAGATGAGAGGATAATATATATAATATATATATATATATATATATATATATATATATATATATATATATATATATAGCCTGTTTTGTGTGTGAACGTTGTGAAGTGTGTTATTTTGCTCTGTCACGATACTCTAGTCGTTGAGCAGTTTAATTTACTGTGTAGGTAGATGTTTGCCCTTTGGTCTCCTTTTTCTTTTCCTTGTCTAAGGTTATGAGGTATTTTAGCATGTTCAAATATTCTGAAAAAATTATCAATGTCTTCGGCCAACTTGTGACGTAATAAAGCTCGTTTCCTTTAGTGGAACAGTTCAGTGCAGGAAAGTGCGATGGCACGAAGACTGAAACAAGTTCCTTTTGTTCAATTACAGCCGTTTGAGATGGGGGGTTTGATTGGTGACCATCGAGTGTCTACAAGACATTTTTTCAGTGATTTACTATACCTGTCCGACGTGACCCAATGATCCTGGCAACAGTAGCAAAATAAACATTCCTACACCTGTTGACCAGAGTCTCACCTAGTACGGACGCTTGCCAAGTACAACGCATTATAACGGCAACAGTTTCAGACTTCACGGCGCCCACAACACAGATTAGATCCAATATGGCCTTAGGAGTGTCAACATGGACATTTTACTTACACCAAGAATATGGACATACGTGTCTCCAGACAGACTTATATATATATATATATATATATATATATATATATATATATAAGAAATGGACAAAGTCCGACAATTTATTTATTAAAGACATTTTTATGTTTAACGTTCTTTTTATAGATACAAGTATTTAATTAAAATTTCTCGGGCATTCAGGCCGGTAAATGTTATTTAATACTGTTTATTATAAACAGAGCATTTACTTAAATACTTGTATCTATAAAAGAACGTTAAACATAAAAAATGTCTTTAATAAAATATATATATATATATATATATATATGTATATATATATATATATATATATATATATGTTTTTTCTTTCTTGATATATATATATACGTGTGTGTGTGTGTGTGTGTGTGTGTGTGTTGTTGTTATACTCTGATTAACTAAAATGTGAAGCAATAATTATTTTATACAAGGTACGATAGCCACTCAAACTAGAGTTACTGTTAAAATTGTTATGGTAAATGATATGTGGCATGGTATTGAAAGCGGTGGTAGGCAATGAATATTATGAGGATATGTAGGATAGATAACGATTGATTTTTGACTTTAAGGCTCTTTTCTAAATTAGAAACTCTCGGGCGGCGGGAAGCTGTACGGGTGGAACGTTCTTCTTGCAGTTGGAATATGTAGGGAATTAGGATGATTCGATTTCATCGAAGGGGCTGTTTCCAAACAACTACGCATGTCAGAGTTATATAAGTTAGCCTATTGTAAATGGTGTTTCATTAAGACGGATCAAAGTCAGTAGTAAATAAATCAGTGATATTGGTGAAATTTGATTTATTTCTCTATTGGATCATGTTATTTAAGTCATGGCAATTATGTGTGAAAAATTATATCGGCTAAATATCCGCCAAACCTTCCTCGGCACACCTCCACTTGATGGTCAAAATTTTTGTTCTCGATCAACATTGATTTTTGAGTCGACCGCCATGTTCTATCCATTCGTATGTTGTGGCGTGCTTTTCTTTTCCAATTTTATTGCCCCGTGATTTGTTTTTCTCCACATTGATTCTTATTGGAAAAATAGTTTAGGTTTACGAACATTTCGGGTTACGCACGATCTTCAAGAACGAATTAAATTCGTGAACTAATGTTCCACTGTATAAGTGTGGATACAGAGTACAATACCGTATGTGACAGTTTGTTATATATGTTCGTCATGAGAAGGATTATGCGGAGCAAGGTCAATTATTTCCGGGAGTGGTTATTTCAGTTCTTTTAAAACATTCCAATGCTATTGAATAGAACTAATTATAATTTTTAAGCTTGTCCTTAAGCATGAAACAAACTGTCACCATTCGATGTTGAGCTGTCCACACTGCTTATATCAACATACATTCTGTCTAGTTAGCTCTTTTACCCTACAAATATAGCGCAAGTTAGATCTATATATATATATATATATATATATATATATGTGTGTGTGTGTGTGTGTGTGTGTGTGTGTGTGTGTGTGTGTGTGTGTGTGTGTGTGTGTGTGTGTGTGTGTGTGCATATATATAATGCCTGTATGATGTAAATGTACACATACTGATTTGAAATATCTGCTCTGACCGTAAATTGAATTGTGGTTGTTAATAATTCCTAATAGTACTGGACTTAATTCGATCTTTGCATTTCATCTCAGGTCAGTAGAAATTTCTGTTGCCCAAATCAATAACTGTAATTATTCATTAATTCGGACACGGACTATATGAAAAGAAAAAGCCGAGTTAGAATATAGATAGATAGATAGATAGATAGATAGATAGATAGATAGATTATGTTTTTAGATAGTTTCTTTTCTTAGATTATCTTCTTAGTTTCTGTTCTTAGGTAGATTATGTTCTTATATAAATTTTATTCTTAAATAAATTTGGTTCTGAGATAGATAGATAGATTGATAGATAGATAGATAGATAGATTCTATTCTTAGATAGATTGATTGATTCTGTTCTTAGATAGATTGATTCTGTTCTTAGATAGATAGATAGATAGATAGATAGATAGATAGATAGATAGATAGATAGATAGATTCTGTTCTTAGATAGATTGATTGATTCTGTTCTTAGATAGATCGATTCTGTTCTTAGATAGATAGATAGATTCTGTTCTTAGATTGATTGATTGATTCTATTCTTAGATAGATCGATTCTGTCCTTAGATATATAGATAGATAGATTCTGTTCTTAGATAGATAGATAGATAGATAGATAGATAGATAGATAGATAGATAGATAGATAGATTCTGTTCTTAGATAGTTAGATACTGTTCTTAGAAAGATTCTGTTCTTAGATAGATTGATTGATTGATTCTATTCTTAGATAGATTGATTCTGTCCTTAAATAGATAGATAGATAGATAGATAGATAGATAGATAGATAGATTGACTGATTCTGTTCTTAGATAGATAGATAGATAGATAGATAGATAGATAGATAGATAGATAGATAGATAGATAGATAGATTCTGTCCTTAGATAGATAGATAGATAGATAGATAGATAGATAGATAGATAGATAGATAGATAGATCTAAACTTATGTACTACATTATATTGTGTGCTATGATTGCAAGATAATTCCCAGGAAAATCTGTCGAACCAAATCCTCCGTCAATTGGCCCCTTTAAGAATCAACTCAAAGCAGTCGTTGTATTTGAATTCTCAGAGAGACGTAAGTTCCAAAAATCAACACTTCTCAAGCTTAAATTACACAGACAATCGCACGACGTAGCCGTTTTAGCTCTTACAGTGATGACAAGCAGTGACTATAAAGAATTATTTCTGAAAGGATATACATACGTAACTTGAAATTTTTATGGTTACGCTTGTCCATGCTTTCGTTTCCCTCCACAAATTCCGGCCTTGTATTTGTCAAGGTTGAGCATTAGTCGTCAAATCTGTCATGGGTGTCTGTTTTAAAATTTACTGCATTTTTTAACGTTAGTAGTCGGACATATGACAGCTTCAGTAGTAACCACAGAAACTGGCTTGCCAAAACGTCAGATTACAATGAAAATTCCAGCACGAGTTCGTTATTTTGTTCATACCTTAGCTAGAACCTTCTCTATAGAGAATCCCGCTTTGATGTCACTTGGATGTGCGGGTGGTGTAATGGATAAGAGGTTGGAATTGTTAATTGGAGAGCCAAGTTCCAACTCACGCTGAGTTTGTTATATTCCCTTATACGCAAATAACTATACGACAGGCATGAATGTACCTCTCCCTCCAGCTATGGGTTTATTAATAAAACTTGTATCACTATACCGTTTTTATCCTCAAAAAACGTTCTTATAATCTAAAAATATTTTATGGCTTTAAATAACCTGCCAATGGTTGATAAGCCGTAAAAAACGAATCAATCAATCAAATTATATATATATATATATATATACATAGTCGACTCTCCCGTCGAGTTCGACGTATGAGGGTCAAGCAGATCAGTTCCCAGGAAACCGACAGCCCGACAACAGCAAATGAGATTTGATTATAGTGGTGAAGGTTTCGTGCAAGACCAGCCACACTTTTTGAAGGGATGAATACAGAGACCTGGTGCACTAAGTGCCACAAGGTCCCCAAACGACCCTCCGCAGTTTTTTTAAATTTAGAGTTGTCCTTCTCCTAGACCAGTTGCCATCCAAGGCTATAGAACCCAGTCTGTCCTGTTATTTACCCTTAGCTGGAGTTCAGAAGAAGAGGATTCACGCCTTTCCCAAGGGTATTAGAACGTAAGTGAATATAATGGATTCGACTAGAATTCGAACTCGGTTCTCCGATTCCTCAATCCAAGCCGCTAACCATTACTCCCTCTGTGTGTGTGTGTGTGTGTGTGTGTGTGTGTGTGTGTGTGTGTGTGTGTGTGTGTGTGTGTGTGTGTATATATATATATATATATATATATATATATATATATATATATATATATATATATATATATATATGTGTGTGTGTGAAAAGTGAATATAAATATATATATATATGTATAATTATTTACATATTATATGCATGGTACTTATTAGAAAGCGCTCAATATCAGAGATAGAGTTAACATATTTGGTTGGATAGATGTATCTATCCAATATATATATATATATATATATATATATGTATATTGTTTAACTTGTTGCTCTTCAGATGAAGTAATTTCATCATACAGCCGAATTGTTTCCCACCTTGCAATCCCTTTCCCCATAGAGAAAACTTTGCCGACCTATTTCCATGGGAAGTGTTCAGACGGACTACATTCTTTAATTCCACCAAATTTAACCTTCACGGCTAACACCAGCCATGCCAGGCACATTTTACCGAACCAGCCTCGTTCCCTTCGTATTCCCTTGTTCTACTCGAGCAACTTCTTTCCATGAAATGCTGCTTTGGGGAACCGACTCCCAAGAGGATGCTCACTCGGTCACTACAATTTTAACCTCTTCATTTCTAAGCTCAACCGTTATCGTCACCGCATATCCCCATAAAGTCTACCGCTTATTCTGTAACCCTCTAATTTGAACGGGCCATGTAGGGGTTAGAAATCGTTGTTAAGAAAAAATAAACTTATTCGATAATCCGGACCACAAGAGACAGAGGATGAAAAAATATGTCCTGATATTTCAAAATTCCGGATAATAAAATACCGAAAAAGAATGAACGAAAAAAAAAGAAGAAATTTATATATATCAAACAATATTTTTATAGGCTTTGATCAAATTTATGTCTACTTTATTTTTAGGGGAAATATTTTTTGTCTTGTTTCTGGCTGTCCGCATGTTTTTCGGACCCTAGCTTCAGAAGCTTTGGTTCCGGTTAGCTGATCATAAATAAAAGACGATGTCCTCCCGGGAAACATTTTGTAATAAAGTCCCGGTTCGTCACAGTTAATTATCTGGTCAGCAGTGATTTCCTTGTTTGAAGAAATTTCTCAGACAAAAAGTAGTCAGCATTCAATTTTCCACCGGAATCTGCCAGACACTTTATTTCGTATCCGAAAGGCGTAACTAATCACAAATGGTTTGGGACTCATTGAGTAAAGATGATTGTAAATTCAGAAGCCTTTTTAAAGAAAATTGGTTCAGTGACCGAAAATCCTTTCTCTCGTTGCTATCGAAAGCATAAATATAACTTTGTCGAACATCGCACTTTTCATGGATTTTAAACATTTGGAAGGTTTCGATATTCCTACATGACAGACTTTCCTCGCTTTTCAAAATATCGCTTATCCACTGTGCACAGTGGATAAAGGCGTTAGTTAGAACCAGTGACAGGACCCAAAGAGTATGAGTTCAATACCTGGTTAAGGCGGTGGAGAACTTGGAGGGGGAAATTAAGAGGAGATAACTGACAACTGGCATCCATTAAAACATGGCACGTGGAACTAGAACAGTGAACGAAATAAAGGGTTCAATTCAACATTCCAACGACCTGAAGAAGGCCGGAGCGTACAGCGGTCGAAACGTTGTAATAAATATGGCAACAAAGATGAGGACAATAGTCTGAATAATGTAAATAGTTTACGAGGCTGGAAGGTTAAGTACTATCGATTCCTGCCAGCAAAATATGATTAATCGGTACATATGGAGGTGGTTGGCTTAATAAAATTGACCATAGTATGATAAGGATTTTTTGGTCCAAATTAAAATTCGTTCTTTATAAATGTGTGGGTGTAGTTCATCTTATAATTGCTTTTGATCGCAACATTCCAAGCCAAATGTCTTCTGGCGTTTAAATTTGTGAGTCAGAATAAAATATTACCCAAAGAGACACGAACTCACATCGTATAATCCTGGAAGCTTATCTTGAAGGAATGACCCTTGAACCAATACCGTGATGGTTTTTCTGTGCTTAGATACATAACAAAATTCCAAATAATATTACTGTCTTTAGATTTAAATTTATTTTCACTACGACCACGACTTGATAATAAACAATATAGCATAAATAATCAAAAGAGGAGGAGTCATATAGCTATGGATTTCGTTTCTGCGCTTAGGTATTAGTATACGTAGCCAAATCGGTTAAGTTGCTCTCTTTGTTTAGAACAACTCCAGGCATAAGTAATCTATCTTATCGGATACTAATTTTGTTCGAATTCATACTGTTTAACAGGCGAAGAATGTTCGACCGAGAAATTAGCGATTAAAATCAGCAAAGAAACGCAAATAAAACCGGCGGACTATTAATAAAAATCGTATAACATAAAACTATTGTCGTTCATGGTTGCTTTCGGTGCTAATATTTTTTAATCTCGTGACTATTGTTCATTTCTTTATGTTTACTACCCCGAAGCCATTATAATATGCAGCCTTGAATACCTAGGTGAAAAAGAAAAATGCACTGAAAAAACATTTAGACTTCTTCACTATCCACATCATTTTATCCTCAACGTTAGAAAATGGGTATACAAAATCTACAAATACAAAAAAATAGCCATTTTTGATACCACTTCTAACGTCAACAACACAAAATTTATATACGCACCATCTAACACTCTACGTACACAAATTTAAAACTAAATTAGTTACACCCAATACTAGGGTCTTTACCGCCACCTCTAAGACAATCGGAGGTATAATTTGGAAGGAAAATAGATCCGACACCACTTCAGATGCCGGGATTTATCAGATAAAATTCTTGCAATGTAAAGACACTTACATTGGAGAGACGTCACGAAGTCTAAAAGCCCCTATCTGTGAACGCAAGATATACCTCCGTTGGGACAACTATTTAAACACACTTGTAATAGACAGGAACAAAGACTGGCCATAACTTTGATCTTACAAATGCCACCCTAATTTAAAAAAGAACAAAATTCTTTACGTTCTAAGTACTTCGAGGGGATCATTATCAAAAATTACTAACTATAAACAAACGTCAAAAATACTATATTACATCGCAAACTTTTATGAAATCTATTCTTACAGAATCTAACGTATGCTTAACTACAACGAACGGTACAGTGATACAAATAATTTGGGGGTTTAGATAGAAAAGGGATAAAATTTGATGGAGAAAAAACGGGACTGATCGATTGACATGGAAACAAATAACGAGCGATAGTGACACAATGAAATAAAGAAAGACGTTAAGAATTATATTTTATAACAACATTGACTATGCTATTTACATCATCCGGACTGTTATCCACATCTTTTTTTTATCATAGTCACGATTTTTCAGCCATTATACGCACCGACCTTCTTCAGGTGATATAAGTTGTAATTTCAAACCCGAAGCCTTTATTCAAATAGGTTATCCTAATCCCTATAATTTTTTTCTTTTATCTATCTATCTATCTATATATATATATATATATATATATATATATATATATATATATATATATATATATATATGTATATATAAAGTGAACATTGAAGTCAACATTAGAGGTTGCTAGACGCAATCGTCAGGCCACCTGACGATTGGTGGCCTGACGATTGCTTCTAGCAGCCTGTTGCCTCTAAGTGTTGACTTCAATGTTCACTTTTTATTTTTACATACACTCTGTCTCTGATATTGAGAACTTTATCCTATAAATATAGAACACCTTAAGAGTATATTTCTTAATATACATATATATATATATATATATATATATATATATATATATAAATGATTTCATATATAATTCCTTTAGTAACTCAACACTCCAAGTTTTTGTTCCCTTGTGGCTAGATATTGAACTCACAACTCTTTGGATCAGGTCACTTTTTGGATTACTTCAAGCAAAGTTTTCCTTCGTCATTATGTATGCAATATATTTTAGATGTCTCTTTATTCTAAGTATATGCGTCCATTTTCTTTACATTTTTTTCTTAAGCCTTCTCTGTGTGCATACTCGCTTCGTCCGTGTTATTCTCAGCTGCCACATACAGACCGTATATGTGGAACGTACAAGGCGACCTTTTAACCTTAAAAAATCACACCCAAAATAGGGGGGCACGTCTTATACACCAGGTAGAAAATGTGTAACTTAAATCCTGTTGTTCGGGGCCCAAAATATCGTAAACATGGCAATAATGACGAGGTGAGGTCAGCAATCCGAACGATGTTAATAATATAAATAGTTAAAATACCTCATTTCGAAAATATAGACACATCATTTATGTTGTTTTCGAAACGATTGTCTGGTTTCCGAAGAGTCCCTTATTCTTTATTTCAATTCTCAAACGAACGCTGAAACAAGAAAAGGAAAAAAAAATATTTTATGTAATATCAACAAACGATTTGGTGCTTAAAGAGATGTTAAATGGACTCGGCTTTCATTTTATACCGAAAATAATTTCTAACTTTTATTTGTCTTCTCTACGTAAACTCGTCTTCCATTGTGCAACAACCTTGAATAGATTTTCATTACGTTTTTTTTTTCTGAATCATAACAAGCGAGAATTATTTGAATCGAAAACTCTTTTAATGGGCCTTTGACGCTTGTAAATGTCTTATCGAACAACAACGCTGAACAGCTTTTAATATAGAAAAAGGAAACACTGTGAAGAAATTAAAACTGGAAATCGCTTGAGATTTTGTCCGTAAAAAATACCTTAATGATCTCAAGTAGACGTTATCTTTTTTCAAAGACCAACCCATGCAGTTGTCTTGTCGATGCAGCTCAATGGTTAGCGATTAGGATCCATAACAGGAAGTTTAAAAATTTGTAACTTCGATGCCGAATTGTAGAGGACAGTGTGGTTTACGAGTTGTTGAATTAGGAACACTTGCGTTTATTTCCTGCTAGTAGAAGGTCCAACGACAAGAATATGTCGGTCTCAAGTTGAGTCCAACCGAAGATGTAAAGAAAACAAACAAGACCGATATATATATATATATATATATATATATATATATATATATATATATATTATGGTCCGGTTCCTTATACCACGGTAATAGTCCAAGGTAGAACCAATAAAGAAGAATGCGAACACAAGTATGGAATAACACAGATATATTATAAACAGGAATATATACAGAGAAGTAGAAGTGTTAGTATGAACAATCAGGTTTAGTAGAGAGAACAATGTAGTCTCGACCAGTATCACTATTCCAATGTCTTGCAGTGATTGTCTGAACGCGACTCTGTTTCGGACTGCCTCTGACTCGACTGTTGACTCAACTTGAACTACTGACTCAACTTGAACTATGGATGATATTCAGTCACCCCCCACGAGGGCGACATGTGGCACAAGGCCGGTTTAACGTGGGATCTCCGACCCGTGGGCTCGGCCAAAAATATGCCCATTGAACCCGTATAAACGGGTTCAGGGTCGGTTTACCTCCCCGAACGAGAATCCGCCCTTCGTCGTAGCCTCTTTTGGGTTCCTCCCCGCCCGAAGGCAGAGAGTTCAACCGATCAGCCGGACGAGACTTGAACTACTGACTCCTACTACTGACGCCTACTCCTGAGGCGCAGTATTTATTAAGTATGGAATAGTCCATTATTATTATTATGGGTAAGATCCCATAACAATATATATATCAACAAATATATGTATTAAACAACAAATTTAAAAGTGACAAAGACATCGACATTTGTGTTTGTGTGTGAACGTAAAGAGTTTGTATTTTGGTGAATGTTCGTACGTACGTGTGTGTATGTTTAATGGCGTTTTCCCACAAGTGGGCAAAACGCAGTTTTTTGTGAGAGATCACATTCTTAAATGTGTCCACTGAAATGTAAAGTGAAAAGATAGCGAGGCAAGAAGTCGCCCAGCATTTATAGAGTAGGGAGAGCGACCCCTAGTGAACAATTAGTGAATTAAGGAGGAGCTAACTCCGACAGTATTAATGACAGTGTTTCTCAGCAAGCATAGAAGATACTTGTGCTATAAGTTGGACAATTGCTCACTGTAAGGCAATTTGAATATCTCCCTATGCAGCACCTGCTTCCAGTGAACAGCCTGTCAGTCGAGTGCATTGTCGGGATTAGATATAACATTTGAGAGCGGATTATAGGTCAACAATTACATACATCAAAAATAAATTATAATTGAGACCAAAAATGTTTTTTAATCATTTCAGCCCGAGTAAAGCAATAATGCCACTAAGACACAAAAGGTTACTGAGTACGAGAATAATGAAAAAACGTGAATTAAATAAATAAATAAAAACAGAAAGAAAACGATTAACATTTCATTTAAACTTTTGAACATTAAACTTGATTGGAAAGCAAGCAGCCGAAAAAGATTTCTACAAGTGCGAGAGAAGAAACTGTCACCATAAAACTTACGTTTATATCTAGCCGTTTACTGTAAAATGATGAGACCTAAGCGCCAATCTGGTGCTGCGCTTAAATTCATAATTCAAGGTACCATAGAGGAAAGCTTATCAGAATAATTACTATGAAAATATTTATAGAAAAAGCACTGGGAAAGTAAGTTACGACAGTGGTAAAGTGGCTGACGCCGAGATGCCAAGTCAGGACTGATAACGTTGCAGATTCTTCTTTGTATTTAACTAGAATCTCTAAATGCATAGCAGAACCCCCAGATTAGATGTATCAGCAATATTCAATGCATGGAAGAATAGTAGACTTATTTATAATTCTACGATTCTGGCGAGAAAAATTGTATACCACGGCACAGAGAACTAACGTTCATCGCAGTAGATCTTGTAATTGATTCAATATAATTCTTCCATTTCATGTCAGCAGTAAACCTTAACCTGGGAAGCCGCTTTGATTCATTCTCCTGGAGGTTAGCATTAGCCTTGCTGATAGAAGCCAACGAAGGTTCTTGTTTTGTTTTGTTTTATGGCATATCAACCTCTGAGTTATTTAAGGCCGACAAGATTTTTATGCTGGTAATATTTTTTAGTTTTGCAAAAAATGTATTGCTGGTAATATGTTTTTTGCAAAAATGTAGCGCTGTTAATATTTTTTTTTCACTGGATTTCTGGTATTAAAACCTATTTTTACACTTTCATAGTGTTTTGAACCCAGGTTGGGGGGGTCAACTATTTGCCTATAGCTGGGACCCCTTAACAAGTGCTACCACCCCGGATCAGGGTGGACCTGGGAACATCAAGTGTTAAGAGGTGGTTCCACGTTCCTCAAAACCTTCTGATCAGAGACCTTGCTGTTGGACGTAGATTATCGTCTTACCCAGGACGCGGATGTAGTTTATCGTCATATCGAGGACGGACTAAAGATCTCTCAGACGATTAACTGAGAGCAGTTTCGTTTTTGATGCGTTAAAATTAACAATCCATTCCTTGTCCCAGTTAACAACAGAGCGTAGGTAATTTTTGAGATCGACTGTCAATTCGACTTTATCGATCCGATCAGATTTATCATTAAAACAGGAGTAAATAGTTGTATCAGCAACATAGATACATCATGATGGTTGTTGACGAAAATTATAGACAACGTGGATCCAAAGATGAAGTCATGGTGGAAATGGTGAAATAAAACTTTACATATTTCGAACAGAATTAATTTTATTGCTGCTTTAACAACGTTCATCAAAAAATAAAAGCAGTGACTGTGGTATTTTCTAGAATATCTCTGGTAATACTTTCTCTGCAATCCTACCTCTGTTATATGAAAATATCAAAAGAACCCGAGGGGGTAATTCAGGCTACCGTAGCCTACCAAAAACACAACATCCACGCATGAGGTATTGTCGATTGTGATAATACATTAACAATATCTCCCCACCTTTTTTGTCGTTAGAACTTGAGTAAAAAGCTAGTATATGCTTACTGAATTTATTTAATAAATCCAATACAGTATCTTTTAAAATGCGACTTGGCGGGGTCGTCTTGTACGGCGAATATAGCTCGAAACCTACATTTTAACTTGAAAAAGTTATACGACCAGTCGACTTGTACTCCAGCATATACGGTATATAACATTAGTGAAAGTATAGTTATAGCTGATGTAAAATATTTATTCATTCTTAAAAAAGCGATTTTACGTTTGTTTATTTTTGAGCGTAAGTATTCAGCCGTCTTTGACAGAACATCGGCGTCGGTAGGGTGTTTACGTGTATTCATTTAAGGTAAGCGGATAAGGAAACATCTTCCTCAATACCTTTGAATCCTTTTTTTCTCTTTTCTAGTGGACTCGACAATCAACTTAACGAACGCCTTTCTGAATTGAACTGATGTAACTATTTTTAAATTTTGCCCGAAGTAACCACCCCATTTTTAATTTGGCACTACGCAAGAGAAATGTCGAAATTGGCCAACGTTGTGTCTGACAAAGGAACAGCGACGACCTCCGGGACAACATTTCGATAGAGAAAAACAATTATATATTTCATAAAACTTATATATATATATATATATATATATATATATATATATATATATATATATATATATATATATATATGACGGCCATATTGACCGAAACTAATCGAGGAATCTAAATGAAATCATGTTAAAACGAAGAAATATTAATATACAACCCAGTGTGTCTGAAAATTTTAATTTTTAATATTTTTATTGTTCAATATATATATATATATATATATATATATATATATGAAGAAAAAAATATACGGAAAAAACAAACAAAAATTCTAATATGCAATTATGCTGTTTTAATGTTAATATAATGTCAACGTCGGACGTTTCGGTCTAGTAGACCATCTTCAGGACATATTCATAAAACAATATAAATATATATTAAATATAGTCTAATGTTAATTATGTTTTATACGTGGCAGAAATATCACTTAACTGGCCGAAATCAATGCGGAACTATAATACTATAAAACATTCATTCATCCCAAGCACTCACACTGACATGCACTCATTCAAACACAACAACAAATACGAAAACACTCACGCAAAACGAAAGGCGCCCCGCATCCACCAGCGAACTGACATCACTGACCACCTAACGCAGGAGGGGATGGGAAAGAGCAAAGAGAGTATCTGAACAATTTCCATGAAAGTATTCATAGAAAAGACACAGAGAGCTACCTTACGGCGGTGGGAAAGTGACTGAAGCCGAGCCGTGACTTCTTTTTTAGCCTTTGTAGTCACTAACTCGCCGTAACGATTGAAATATTAGATTTATCGTGTTGTTTTTGTGCTTTATTATTCAGTTTGTTTCAGCCACTTCATTTTACAAATCACTAAAGAATACCTCGACAAATTGTTCCGCAGTTGTTTTGTTTGCTGTCGGGTCTATAATATTCAAAACATTCCAGATTATTAACTTTGGTTTCGTTTCGTCTATTTTGCTTTACGGTATGTCAAACTTGGTGAGTTATCTAATGCTAACAACATTTTTAGGATAGATTCGTATAAATAGAATATGTATTCTTTGCAAGAAATCAGTTTATAGATCAGTTTTGTACATAGGTTTTTTTTTGTCGGGAGTCAAATGCATTGCTGGTAAAAAACAATTTTTCCAAAAATGTATTGCTGGTATTTTTACTATAAAAAATATATTTTTATACTTTCATAGTGTTTTGACCACAGTTTGCAGGTAAACTCTTCACCCATAGCTGGTAGCCTAACAGGTGGGACGACCCCGGGTTAGGGTGCACCTGGGAACAACAGCAATTAAGAGGTGGTTTCACGCTCCTCAAAACGTCCAATCTTCCGATCAGAAATCTTGCTGCCGGGTGTAATTTGTCGTCATACCCAGAACTGTAATCACTCGTAATTTTATGGCGGTTTGGGTAGAACAGAACAATCAAGTAACATTTTTTGTCATTACTGAATGAGGATTTGCATTGTCATGGAGGAAAACAATTTTTTCTTTCATCCACTGTGTATGCTGCTCAACCTGGATATAACGATAAACCTCATCCGACAGCAAACCCTCTGATCGGAAGATTGAAGGTTTGGAAGAGTGTGGAATAATCTCTTGACAGCTGTTATTCCCAGGTCCACCTTGACCCGGGTTGGTAGCAAATATATCTACTCCTATTCTTGGATGAGAGAAATAAATAAAATGAAATAAATAATAAAAAATAAATATTTAGTTAATAAAATTTCAGAGTTCAGGCGCAGACATTAGGAGTACAGACCTGAAGTAGATTTTAGAAGAAACCGGAAACCCAATCCTAAACAGGAAACAAGGGATAGGCTTCTACTCTTGGTTAAAAAACGGAGAAGTTTGTATTCAGCTCGTATTTTTTTGACCAATTCATTTTACAAATCCATAGAGAATAGAATTACCTTGACAAATTCTTCCACAGTTGTTTTTCTCTTTGCTTTCGGGTCAATAATATACATAACGCTCAAGATTATTAACTTTGGTTTCATTTCGTCTATTTTGTTTTACGGTATGTCAAACTTGGTGAGTTATCTAACAAAATTTTTAGGATAGTTTCGTATAAATAGAATATGTATTCTTTGTAAGAAATCAGTTTATAGATCAGATTTTTTAAAGAGTATTTTTATGGAGCCATTTATCATTTTATAATTTTTTATTGCAAGTAATTTTTTTTTCAAAAATGTATTGCTGGTATTTTTACCATAAAAATCTATTTTTATACTTCCATAGTGTTTTAAGCCTAGTTTGGGGGTTAAGTATTTGCCCATAGCTGGTACGCTAACAGATGCTACCAACCCGGATCAGGGTAGACCTGGAAACAAAAGTAATTAAGGCCTTACTGCCGGATGTATTTTATCGTCATACCCAAGACGCATTAATTTTGCAAATAAAATCAAAACTCTTCTCTTATTCCACTCTTCTGCTTGTTTTAGTGTAAACTATCTAGAAAAGAAACAATGCTATGTAAATGATCGTCGAATATTGCAACTGTTTTGATACAGATTCCAAAACTTCATTGAAATTTTAATTCATTTCTAAAATTGAATTTGGATCATAACAAATTAAAATATTTTAGATAAGGTGCTGTTTATTCTCTTCTTCTTTTTTTAAATAAATTTAAATAATTTAAACAATATGTCTGAGAAAAGAGCCTTTGGAGAAGGTGGCGAGTTGAAAATTTCGACGTTATTTGTGCCTTT